TTTGCTTAGCTTAGCTTGTCCCAAGTAGGTGCTTTAGACCACTGAGCCATCTCACCAGCCCCTAAGTAGGTGCTTTAGACCACTGAGCCATCTCACCAGCCCCCAGGTTAAGTTTTAATGTGAGATTAATTTCCCTTAGCATCAAATCTTTTAATGCCGGAAGGCCTTGATAGCGAACAACCTTTGAGAAGGTCCCCTCTGATCCAGAAACAGACCTTCTTCTTCGGTGATCTCTCTTCTAGCTCTACCAACTGAGAGGTTCTAGTTCCACAGCATCCCAAATGGCAGGCAAGCCTCGTTCAACTGTGGCTATATGTCATTAAAATGAAAAAAAGAAAGACCTACTTTCCCAATCACACAAGCCACACTTCAAGTACTCAGTAGCCACATGTAGGTAATAGTCACCTTAGGGGTCAACAGAATATTTTCCTAGCTCATCTCTGGGATTCCTGCCACAGCCAACGCTGGAACTCTGTGATTCCAGCTGAGATAGCCCCTTGGGGAAACTGACCAGAGATATCTCAGAGCTCTTCTGGGAACCCTACAGACTACTGTGTATGTTACAGGCAGAGAACCAGGGCTGGAGCGTAGGATAGAGACCACTCGGGGGCTTTAACACCCTCCCCCCACCACAGCAAAGGTAAGACTAACCGTAAAACATCTGAAAATAAAAGCATAAAATCTTGCCTAGCATGGTGGCCCCTGGCTGTTAGTCAACAGGTTAGTCAAAATGTGTCTCAAAATTAAAAATTAAGAGCTGAGGGTGTAGCTCACAACTAAAGCCCTGGATTCAATCTCCAGGACTGCATTTTTTCAAATATTAAAAATTGGAGGGGAGATGGCTCAGTGGAATAAGTGCTTCCCTGACAAGTGCAAGGACCTGAGTTCATTCCCTGGTTCAGCCAAAAAAAAAAGAGGAACATTTTAGGGGCTGGGGAGATGGCTTAGTGGAATAAGCGCTTCCCTGGCAAGTGCAAGGGCCTCAGTTCAATCCCTGGTTCCACCAAACAAAAAAACAAACAAACAAACAAAAAAGTGCAGCTGATAAAAAAAAAAAATTGCAATAGTCAAAGCAGCTATTGTTACTATTTGGGGCATCTTCTACCATATACAAGTCCTTTCTCATACTGTGGAGAACTGGTTTCAGGATCTCCTATGGATACCAAGTTTAATGATCCTTTTGTTCTTTTTCTTCCTTTGTGATAGTAAGGGTTAAACACAGAGCCTATGCCCTAAACATCCATCTCTTCTTTTTGTTTTTTGAGACAGCTTTTTCTAAGTTGCTAAATTGCCTAGGCTGGGCTTGAACTTGAGGTCCTCTCTCTTCAGCCTCCCAAAGTGCTGGGATTACAAGTGTGGGTTGCATTCTTGCTTTCACATCCTTAACTTGGTATAATGTTTGCATATAACCTATCCACAGTGTCCATATACTTCAAATCTTCTCTAGATGACTTGTAATACAAACTATGACATAATGACTATGTAATTGTGCTGTTGTGTTTAAGGAATAATAACATGAACAAATAGCCTGTACATGTTCGGTACAGACAACTTTTTCTCAGTCTTTTGATCCATAGTCGGTTGAATGTGTGGAATAAAGAACCTATGGCTATGAAGGACCAGCTGTATTTTTCAATTATGTTCTTGATACAAATTATGTATTTCATATTTTTCTTTTTAATTTTATTTATGTGCTCGTGCGCGCGCGCTCGCATGTGTGTGTGTGTGTGTGTGTGTGGCCAGCTCAGCCCACCAGTGGGTGGGGCTGGCTGGCATGTGGTGCTGGGGGATTGAACCGCGGCCCCTGTGCTTTGCTAGGCTTGTTCTAAGTAGGTACTTTAGACCACTGAGCCATCTCACCAGCCCCATATTTTTCAATTCTGTATTGTAAAAAAATAATTCTGTATTGTAGGTATTTTCCTGAGTAATTAGCCAACATTTTTGTTTGTTTGTTTTGAGACATCTCCACTGAGCCATCTCACCAGCCCCATATTTTTCAATTCTGTATTGTAAAAAAATAATTCTGTATTGTAGGTATTTTCCTGAGTAATTAGCCAACATTTTTGTTTGTTTGTTTTGAGACATCTGGTCATGCCGCTCAAAAGCTGGCCTTGATTAATTAAAAAAAGAAAAAAAGCTGGCCTTGAATTTATGTAGTCTAGGCTGTCCTTGAACTCACAGTGATCCTCCTGCCTCCGCCTCTAGAATGCTTGGATTATAGGTATATACTACTGTACCCAGCAGTTCAGCTATTTTAGACAGCACAGTATTTTAAATAAACAAGATTGTGGGGGATTTTTTTTTTTTCAGTACTAGGGATTTTTCAGTATTCAGGGTCCTTGTACTGAGCTATATCCCCAGACTCCTCTAATTTATTTTTTCATTTTGTCTTTTTGAGACAAAGTCTGTCTATGCAGCCCAGGCTGGTCTGGAACTCACAACAATCCTCCTGCCTCGGCAGCCTGAGTGCTGGGACTGCAGGTGTACCCCACTATGCCTAGCTTTTTTGTATTTTAAGACAATGTTTTGTTAAAATGCCTAGGCTGAGCTGGAATTAATAACCCTCCTGCCTCAGCCTCTCAGAGTACTAGAGCTGAAATCAAAGGCATGTGCCACTATGCCCAGCTAACAAATAAGATTTTTAATATAGACTTTTCTTTGTCATAAAACTAAAAAATGCGCATAAAGAATATTATAACTGTCCCATTGTCCTACCTTCCAAAGACAACTGTTGCCATATTTTTGTCATCTGTTTCATGCATGGGAAGATTTCCCAGTCATATCACACACTGCACGCAATTTTTAATTCTTTTATTTTCACAGGATAACATCAAAAGCGTAAGTCTGGTTGCACTAACCTCAATTTCAATATCTGCACGCTAATCCCTCAAGCAGGTATTATCTAATGCATGTAGCCCTCACACCTGCCAAGAGTGCTCTGCACAGGTGCGTGCGCAGCACTGTTCTTGTCATTTGGTTCTTTCTGCAGGTGACATTTCTGCCGGGCATGATGTCTGAAAGTGTCCAGGGCCAGGGATATGACTGCATGCACCTGAGCAAAAGGAAGAACAGGACGGCTTTGCGTCCCATCCTGCCCACTTCACACAAACTCACCTTCCCACCAAACTCGTGCTGATAGACCAGACAGCACCACTGCCTGGGCTCCAGGCCCTTCACTGGACAACACTATGGTTACTAACCATATGTAATTAAATTCAAATTACTCAGATTTTGATTGCTTAAATTTAAGTAAAACTAAGAATTCAGTTACTTGATCACACTGGCCACATTCCAAGTACTTTCCAGCCAAATGTGGTTAAAGGCCCCTCTCAGTATTTCTATCCTTGAGAATCTATTAGCCAGCTCTAGCCTAACCCTCTGAATTTCTTCTTTCCTCTCATACTCTGCTATAGTCCATTTGCCCCAAGAATCAATCCTCAGGGCCAGGGAGATGGCTCAGTAGAATAAGTGCTTTCCTGGCAAGCGCAGGGCCTGAGTTCAATCCCCGGTTCAAAAAAAAAAAAAAAAAGAAAGAAAAGAAAAAAGAATCAATCCTCAGCAGGACATGGTGGTATATATGTATAACCCAAGAACCCTGGAAGGCCTGAGGCAGGAGGATTACAAATTTGAACCCAGCCCGGGTAATTAGCGTCAGTGAGACCCTATTTCAAAACATAAAAAAAGAAAAGGCTGGTGGAAAGGCCCTAAGTTCAATTCCCAGTATGGGGGGAAGGGCTCAGTCCC